CTACGCCTAGATCGTTGATGCTTGTTCAAACTCGGCAGTGATAATTGACACGTGGTGCACTTTATCAGGAGTGTTTATGCGGTTGATGTGATGCCCTTTCCGGACGAGCGCTTAGAGCGCTTTGCGCCATCAATCGGTTATTTGTAGTCCAGTCTTATAGAAGTTAAGAAATGAAACGAAGTCATGGGCTCCTTAATCGCTATTTGGTGACTTAAATCACCGTGGCTCTTCTACAATTTAAGGGGAACCACTTAAGCTAAAACTTGCTTCGGAAGGGGTTTGAGGTTCAAAGTGCTCGGATTCGGTCATTACATGGATGCTCTGGCCTGCGAGACTATGTGTGGCCCAAAATCATGCGCTCGGCAATGTCGTCGATGTCTCTCCCATTCAACTCTTTTTTGTATTCCCGAGCTGAATTAATTTGGGACAGACGATAAGCCTCTTAACGCCGTCGGACAGCTCAATAAACCTTGTCACCCAACCATTATTTGTAAACAGTTGACGTCGTTATCAGTCACCTAACAAGAAGTCATAAATGTGTCGTGAGCGCCATTGCGGCTGAAAAAAAAACTGATGAGGTCCACCAATCCGGTATTAATTGCAAAGCCATTGGAGACGTAACTTCGCCTAGCTCGTTTCCACGTGGGATATAGTTCCCTAAGAGTTGCATGCTCGGTCCCAAAGTAACCCTAGACCAACCAGTTTCAATCGTTCTGACTTCTTGATTTCTGGCAAGCCACGATGTCGGGTGACCTGGGTCATGACATGGGAAGTACGAGTGCACACTCGCTCACATGGTGTACGGTGGTGGCGGGTACCGCTCACATGATACATGATGTGTAAATAAGAACACACACACAGGCATGCAGGCAAGGGCAAGCAGGCAGACAGCAGGCAACAGGGGGTGATAGAAATGTGCTGGCATCGAGCCATAAACCGAAACACACGAGGGAAGGGGTGTTCGTGCTCGTGAGGGCAAGCAACCAGCAACAATCGAGTAACACAACAACAAAAACATCCACAGATAACAACGCATCAGCTGATGTGTTGTTGACGGGGCCGTCCGAGACAGAGTGGTTGACCTTCTTTTTTAGCCGATGAAAACTTGTCAAAACAATCGATAGTTCCGGATAGTTTTGTTTAGGGGTCGATTTGGAGTGTCTTGTAGTCGGTTTGGAACGTGCAAGGGGCCGAATTCGTCGTAGAGATAGATCAATTGGGTCAGCCGTCGGCCATACCACCAGGAAGCGAGTGCTATTTGGAGTTACGTGTTTCGGGGACCCATTTATGACGTCAGTTGGAATTTCAGTCCAGTGCGGTCTCCTGGAGCTGATCATGTGATACAGTGATGTTTGGCTGACCATCACTTGATAAACACCTTACATGTTCTAGTTGAAGCTTGCAGAAGTACTGGAAAAGGATCCTCTCCTGAAGTCTTGCCTAAGGTGTAACTGACGATTATGAAGCTTACCTGAGCTTATTAGTATCTATTGATCAAAGGACAAAGCATTCCGCCGTTGATCAATCCCGTTTTTGGGATGCGGCACGCATTCTACTTCCATTCATTCGTAGTGGCGTTTGAATGCGATGTGGCCTATACAATGACTTGCGGGGCCAGCCGATGTACAAGTCAGTGTTTTTATCCTCCCAGACAAGTCTGGTACCAATTAACCGACCCCGGAGGGATGGAAGGCTTGGTTGGCCCGGGACTCACGACCCAGGATTTGATCCCGGACCGCTCGCGTGGTAAGCGCGCCACTTGCCACTACACCACTTCCGCCCCTCAACATCTATGCTTTTAAAATACATTTGTTCTCATTAAGCGAAAGGTCTGGGTTCGATTCCCGGTCGAGGCAAAATGGCAAAATGTTTGTGTTCAACTCGTGATCCTTATGATTGCTTTAACGCGAACTGCGGTCATTTCATTCAAACCAAACGAGACAAAACCTGTTACATGAGGTGTTGTTTTTTTTTATTAAGGTTACTGTTTTGGTTACTTGAAAAGGTAGTGCGATCAACAGATGGTCTCGATAACATTGTTCATCTAATCGGCTCTCCTTGACTTTTATGTGAGCTTAGATTGAGAGTGCGAAAGATGGTCTCTGTTTGACGTGATTCTTTTACGACGAGTCTGCGTTTCGCTTCTGTTCCACAGAGTTGCTCGAATTTCCTCCCAAAAAATCCCAGTACGGATCCACTGCTTTAGGCACTTTGTAGGTCTAGGTGGAGCTTGGTTTAGCCAGGGTCGTGAACGAGGAAGTGATACATTTCTTTACTTCCCCGCGGCCGTTAGCGGTTTAAACTCACTGTAACTATAGGTGTCGTGATGAACTAGATATATAAGTAGAGCTTGCAAGGCAGGAAGATATCGAGGCGCCTTGTTTCACGTCCATATATTGTCCTTAGGCGGTAGTGGTGTAGTGGCACGCTTACCACGCGAGCGGTCCGGGGATCAAATCCTGGGTCGTGAGTCGCCCGGGCCAACCAAGCCTTCCATCCCTCCGGGGTCGGTTAATTGGTACCAGACTTGTCTGGGAGGATAAAAACACTGACTTGTACATCGGCTGGCCCCCGCAAGTCATTGTATAGGCCACATCGCATTCAAACGCCACTACGAATGTACAAATGGAAGTAGAATGCGTGCCGCATCCCAAAAGGGATTGATCAACGGCAAATGCTTTATCCTTTTTTATGTCTTGGCGGTCAGTTCATTTACAAGTCCTGTCTTGAAACATGCCAGTCTTCTTGTCATACTGTTTTTCTATCTATCTGGCATTTGTTCACTTATTTACCTCTTCCTCTGTTTTTCTCATCCTGATATACTCCTTATTTTCTCTTTGTTTTACCATTTTGAGCAATTTTTTGTTAAACTCATGCAGTAATCAACTTGGAACCGATTTCAGTCATCCTTACCGTCTGTGTCGCTGTCGATTTCGGAAGCGGCTACCACGCCGTTATCGATTCCAGCGCCATCGGTCGTCTCATCCGAAGGCTCACCTAACTCGAATGATCTACAAACCCAGAAAACCTTCGTTCCTCGGCGAAGTCGAATTTCCGACAAGTCTGTGCTACCAATTTCTGCGGATATTGCAAGAAATCGGTGAGCTTTTTGTTCATTTTGATCCATTATTTTATTTCTTCGTGGCATATTGTAGTAACTCACATGGTGAGTGTATTCGGATTCTTTTTTCGCGAAAACTCATGATTTTTGTCTGAATGTAACCCAAAACCCGTTTTTCTGTTGCAAGCGGCGGGATGTCATGGTCGCTGTCGTGGACGTGTTGACCTTTTAAGTCTGCTTATAAAGCTAACAGGCTGAATGCGCATGACGTTTCGTTGTAGCTGTGAAAGCTAAATTATCATTTTTTGAAACGGTCTCATCGTTCCGGTAATTAAGCAGGTTGACTCACTGTGCCGATAATCTCATTTTCATCAATACGCATAATTAATGTTAGGCATACTGATGTTTTACGTCATAAGAGAGCGCAAGAACGCTGCCGTCCGTTCATCCCAATAACAAACATATATTAAAGTTTTTATTACCTGTATGGCGTTAATTACAAGCTGAAACGTGATTTCATAATGTTCATGGAAACAGGAGCTATTTGCTAGAAACTGGCCCGACCATTTTGGTCAACTGACTGGCGAATGTTGGGCATACGGTTGGAAGATTCCTGTTTGAAATTGGTATTTTTGGGGAGAAATTGGGTCATTGACCAGTAGAGGTAGTTACTGTCGTGCATGAGCAATTCTATAATATTTGTTGGGGACCGGCTGGTGCTATCTGTGGGCTTCTTCTGTCGTTTTCTACCTACTCAGTCATCGTTCAGCCTGTTGATTGCTGTCCAAACTAAAGTGCATTATTTTGGCCCGGAATGGTCATAGGCAGCTAGCGGGTCTTTGGCGAGGCGATGTTGTTTCAAGCGGTGGCGTTTTGATGACACCTTACACAAAATTGATGAGAGACGGGAAGGTTTCACTATCACGTGCAGGCGTGCGACAATCTCACGCAGACGTCGGTTGTGAATCATCGTGGCGCCTACGATGCTTACCTTTTGTGGAGTGGTGTAGGCATGAAACCGGTTTTCTTTTTTTCATCCAAGAACAACACTCGTAGTAATGCTGGAAGTAGCAGTATACGAGTTTTTACGTATGATTTCGTTATGGGCTACCAATGTTTCTTAAGTTAAAACTGGTTAAATGTATGCCGCAAGGACACTTAAAGTAGCAGAATGGTTTCATTTTGATACGTGAGTGAGAGAAAGGGGACCAGCAAGCAGTAATTCAACCCGGTAGAGCGCATTCGGGTGGCATGACTGATCATATCATTATGAGAAAAGATGAAGGGAAGTGAAATTAATGGTGTCCGTGAACAACTCCTGTGCGTCACGCCATGATTTCTACCAAATTGAACGAAGCAGACAGACACGGGTGGTCTTAAGAGAACCTTTGGGGTAACTGGGGCAGATTTAGCCCACGTACCATATAAATCGTAGGGTGCCGTTTGTCACCGTCATACTTGCACATGAACCCAATGCGGTGTCATCAGTGTCGCCTCACCTTAGATACAACAAATTAAAATTTGAAGGATGTCACGATAAGGTCGAAAGGGGGGGGGACTTATATAGTGAAAAGCCAAGCAGACCCCCCCCAAGGGTGCGCACCGACACGCAATTCGCAGCGAGGGATGTACCACCATCCGCGATTACACATAGCCCTCCACGCGGCGCTATCGGCGCGGTACGCCCACCGACTGGCTAACTACTTGCAACAGGTCTGTAGCCGTTTGCAGAGAGAGAGAGAGAGAGAGAGAGAGCGTTGGAGAGAGCAGCATCAGTGAGAGTCACATCAATGCGTAAATCAACGAACAAGGGAGGGGTCCCATGTCTCGAGTTCTGGGCCATTCTCTCATAGTTTTCTTCATTCGTCGTATGACCACCGGCCGACTACCTGATTCTCTAAATCGGCTGCCTTCTAATCGTAAAGGCCGCCTCTAATGGGCCATTGTTCTACCGCGGCGTTCAGGGAGAATGCGATATCTGCCTGAACAATTGCCACTGATAGTTAGGCCTTTTCAAAATTACCAGGCAACGCTCACCATGTGCAGAATCGCTATCTGAACGTGTAGAATTTCAGACGGAGTTCTACAAATGGAACATCCACCGCTTTTGGCGATTTTTGCCAGCGTTCAGCAGCGCAGCGTCCTCCTCTTAAGAAGTTACAGGTCCCTAGTAATCTTATTCATTAAAGTAGGAATGGGCTACCCATCGAATTCAGAAATTTCTTCAATTTTCGAAGCAACAATTGGGTGGTGTACAGCGAGAAGGGGTTGTGATGTAATTTCCGTGGGTTGCACTTTTAAATTAATGTGTCAACTTTTTCACCAGTGTACAATTCAGTAGACAGCACTTTCGTGACGGTTACTGATAGGGAAATTTTGCACTAAATTTCACAGCGTCAAAAAGGATTATGGCGTAATACGATAAAATTCGCATGATTTTTCGCTTTTCCAGAGATTTTTACCGTACGAATGATGTCCGTCCACCGTACACATATGCATCGCTTATACGGCAGGCTATTATGGAATCACCTGAATGTCAATTGACGTTGAATGAGATCTACACCTGGTTCACCGAGACGTTTGCATACTTCCGAAGAAATGCCGCCACCTGGAAAGTGCGTTTTAATTGATTTTTGCTTTTTTACTGACTTCCATATTTGTGTCTTCGTTTTTATTTGTCTTTGAAATTGTTGAAATTGTTCGTGATCGATTCCCGTGAATGAACGGGGGCTCGTTATAGTCAATTTCTGGGAGTTGTTGGTTAGCTGGGTGGTTGGTTGTTTTGCCATTCGTCGATTGATGTTCGTAGAGTGCGGCATCTAGAAGTGCATTCGTGCTTTTTTCATGTGTTGAAATGCGCGTGTGCATGCCTAAGCGCGAGGCAACGCAAGCAGCTGTGCGTACAGGCGAGTGTGCGAGAGAGAAGTTGGAGATACGAAAGAAAAGATGTGTACTTCCAGTCGTGTGTTGTGTTGTCTGCCCGTAATTACGCTGCACATTGTTTTCGACGTTCTTGAAGGGGGACGTAAATGAAATCTCTATGAAGGCTTTCAGCGATTATATCGGAACACGCTATATGATGATAGCGAATTGCAATGACGTGTGTTTGCGGTTTTTTCCTAAGCCTTTGTTGTGCAACGAGAAGGCTCAAGACGGAGTGCGGCAGCACTTTCACGAAGGTCTCATAAGGGATTCGCAGAAGTGGCTCGAATATAGGAATTTTTGTTTTGATAGCATGTTTGAGGAAGAGGCCGCAAAAGGCCTTGAGAAATGAAAATTTATTATGAACCTACGAAGTTTTTTCGATATGAAGTCATTCTGTTCATTCTTCAATTTCGTCCCCTTAATTGTTCGTTTATGTTGCGGGGGTAGCTAGCGATTTTGTCAATATTTAGAAAGCTCAATGCTTCTTTTTTTGCCCCACATTCGGTATATTAATTTCAACAGATTGGAAAAGCACCATTGGAATTGGAAAAGCAAGGATGAGCCTTCCAACTAACTCAACAAATTACATTCCAAATTGATTCAAACTACAGATCAAGATGCAGTTGAAGCAAGTTTGCAAGTGTTTAGTATCAGGCGGGATGGCGTCAGAATAAGGGGCTTTTGTCACCATTATTCCGGGTCGCCTGAGGTGTTAAAGTAAATAGAAAATCAGCAATTACGCTCATCTGACCAGTGTCCTCTTAGAAAGGCAGCTTGTCTATGTGAATAAAGGATAAAGAAAGCATCGGAAGTTGATGACCCGTTTTGCGGTGTGCCGCACACTCTACTGCCATTAGAATCGTGGCGACATTTGACCAATACGATGTTTTGCGGAGGCCAGCTGATGTACAAGGCAGTCTCTTTATCTTCTCAAATAGGTGTGGTACTGGCGGTTGACATTGGAGGGATGGAAGGCTTAGTTATGCAGGAAAGTAGCGGCTCTTGGTTTGTCCCAAGGTCCGTGCGCACGGTAAGGGACCCACTTACCACTACCACCTTCACCACCCATGTCCGTTGTTCAGTTTCTATCAGTGTTTGTAGGAATCTACCGTGAGGTGATTTTCGTACCAGTTTATATTTTTGAGTCAGTGACCATTCCGATTACTATAGCGAGCCCAGGTAGGAAGTTCTGCTAACGGGAACATAGTGTGATGCGGTCAAGGGCCAGGTTAGAGGAAGCGATTTTCTGAAAGCCTTGGGCAAGCAGGGTCAAAAGCTACAGAAACCTTGGCAGCGCAACAGATCCTAGCTCGATATTTAGCAAATGACCGTGCATACAACTTGCAAGTCACACCGACTTCCTGTCACAGAGTATTCGTCATTTGTCAGCCGTTAATGACCAAGTAAATCATAAAAAAATTCCCCGAAATACATTCACGTGTACAAACGAAATGTTGCGGCCGCGTATACGACAATTTGCGACAATTACGACGGGGTTGTGTCGTTGTTTGTCGTAAGAGGACACTGCGGCAAGCGTTTGTGTTCCCCCCGACCACGGGGCCGGTGATGGTCGCGCTGTCGGTGTTGACGTCGGCGTCGTCGTCGTTCTGTCAACAAACTGTCTTCGCTCGCCTCAAGTTTTTTCACGCCCCCATTTTGCAAATTGAGGCCAGCGCGAGTGCGTTTCGACGAATGCGCAAACACATAGACCAGGATATTTAGGGAGGGAAAGTGGGTTAACTAGATTTGCGTAAGAGTCTGTTCCGCATGTGTTTACAAAGTCTTAGGCCTGTAACTGCGGTCGAGTTGAATCCTTAGTTGTACATATAATTTGGTAGTATTGGAGATAATCATGGTCAGTGGAAGCCTAAACCACTCCCAGGCTGGCTATTTCAAGCCCAAATAAATAATAAAAATCTAAAAAAAAGAACAAAGCCTTTGAGTTTCACTCAGTTCTTTTGTTGGTATGCGCCATACACTCAAACTTCCATCCAGAGCGAAGTGGCATTTGAATGCTATGTGGCCTAATCATTGACTTGCTGGGCCCAGCCAATGTATGAGTTAGTGTTTTGTCCTCATAGACGAGTCATTTATCAACAAGGGCTCTCGAGGGGTGAGGAGCTTTATCGGCCTCGCTGCAATTTGGTCAAGGATTCGACCCTGTTCGCGTAATAAGCGGCGCCACTTACCGCTACGCCATTTTCTCCCCAAGCAACTGATATCGATATTGAAACAATGAAATTGAAATAAATGTATTAAAAATCGCTGTTAGCCGATATGTCCTACTGTGAGGCAGCTCGTGCTCATGCTCAGAAGTTCTATTTCTCACCCACCAAGATCAATCGTACTTCCATTCGGGGTAGGTAAATTGAGCCCAATTTTGTACGCGGGTGCAAGTGCCGCATGGATTTCTTGAGTTTGTTCCAGTCGTTGCAGAGGTTTCATGTATTTGAAAGTGTTTGCGATCTTGGGCGAAAGTGGAACGCATGACTCAGTCCAATTTCCAAGTGCAATGAGGCCTAGTAAAGTCAGATTCAAACGCTGGTCGCTCAATACTAATAGAGCTGTAAAGCAACATGTGAGAGCGTCATCGCGTCTCACCTGCGCCATGTATTGTATTAATGTATGTCGCTAGGTCGCACGCGACAGCGCAAAAAGTCGTCTCACTACGAAAAAAGTTGCATTGCTGGCGTCGTACCTGCAAGTACGGGACGACGTCGTTTACGTTGTCGAACAACTTGTAAATGTGATTATCGATCTCTTAAGAGGAACGCGCCTGGTTGAGGAACCGAGGGACTGGTGGTAATGTCGTTTAGGGGTTGTAAGAGGTGCTGGCGGTAGACAGAATAAAAAGCGAGGAAAAGCCTGGAACTTGAAATATAGGACAAATTGAACACTTGACTTTTATAACCCCCATAGGGCGAGCCAAACCCGCTAATTGAGGAACGAACTCTTGAAGAATGACAGAGTGTGGGTGGAACGGTAGATATGACCCGCCAATGAAAAAGAGGCAAAAAAACTATCGAAGACGAACCCTTCCGAAACGTTACTTTGCTGCTACGTTGCTGTCTTGCGGTCGGCCTCGTAGAATTCTTGTCATCGGACCGTCCACACAGCACCATTCACATTTTCCACTCTTTGGAACATTTAGGCAACTACATTATCAACAGCATCTGAAAGAGGAATTTATAAGGATTCAAAAAAGAGAACCCTGCCAAAGTCGTAAATTCCCCTCACGCCTTCTACAACAGTACTCGGCTCAAATGGAAACAAATTATTAACACTTAATATGGTGACCCATGATCCAATCCCCTCCCACATCAATCAAGACCGCAGCTTTTTAAACAAATGCATTCATTAAAGATTAAACATTTGGTTCATTAACTTTAGCAAGGCTTATTTCGACGAAATCTGCAATACTTTGAGACCAATACGCCCCCGCCCTTAATCGGCTTACTTTTTAACGAAAATCTCACGCTCTCCCAACTTTCCACACGCACTCGCGGAACACTGTGAGTAGGTAAACCTCTCCGTCAACAACATAGTTGAGTAAAAGTACTACTATAGCTAGAGAATGCGCTATGTCATCACTACAGGATAAAGCGTATTCGTGACGATGCCGTTAGGGCCCAAATGCTGTAAGCTCTGCCCCTCGGTAGCACCACCATGTCTGCGTCTCTCACTTCTGAATCATGTCTCGTTCATCTCATTTTCACTCTTCCTCTTACTACTACCTCGTTGAAAAAATCATATCTAGCTACAAAGGTCCCTTTAGCGTCTTCAATAGGTTCCTCTTCATTACCGTCATATCACCTTCCACCACACTCATCATCTTCAAGGATGTCTCTGGGGCACGCTTTGGCTCACTCTAACGGTATAAAAATCAAGCTATTTAATTGTCCTATATTCAATTACATACTTGACCAGTTTTGTGCCGTCTCCGGCCACCTCTTACAACCCCTAAACGACATTACCACCAGTCCCTCGGTTCCTCAACCAAGCGCGTTCCTCTTAAGAGATCGATAATCACATTTACAAGTTGTTCGACAACGTAAACGACGTCGTCCCGTACTTGCAGGTACGACGCCAGCAATGCCAATTTTTCATAACGGACTTTTGCCTGCCGTGCCCACTAGCGACATATCATAATACAAACATGGCCAGGTGAACCGATGACGCTCTCACATGCTGCACACCTATTAGTATTGAGCGACCAGCGTTTGGATCTGACTTTACTAGGCCTCATTGCACTTGGAAATTGGACTGAGTCATGCGTTCCACTTTCGCCCAAGATCGCAAACACTTTCAAATACATGAAACCTCTGCAACGACTAACAAACTCAAGAAATCCATGCGTACAAAACTGGCTCAATTTACCTACCCCCGAATGAAGTGCGATTGATCTTGTGGATGAAAAATAGAACCTCAGCATGACACTCTCACATAGACATATCGAACTAACAGCATTTTAATACATTATTCAATCATGGTTCATACGCAATCAGTGCTGGGAAAAATGCGTACCGGTAAGTGGCGCCTCACTAGCGAAACAGTCGAATCCTTGATCCAAATTCAAGCGAGGCGATAAAGCTCCTCACCCTCGAAGAGCCCTTGTTGATAAATGACTCGTCTATGAGGACAAAACACTAACTCATTCATTGGCTGGGCCCAGCAAGTCAACGATTAGGCCACATAGCATTCAAATGCCACTTCGCTCTGGATGGAAGTTGAGTGTATGGCGCATACCAAAAAACTGAGTGAAACTCAAGGCTTTACTTCATTTTAGATTTTATTATATTTGGGCTTGAAATAGCCAGCCTGGGAGTGGTTTAGGCTTCCATGACTGACCATGAATATCTCCAATAATACCAAATTATATGTACAACTAAGGATTCAACTCGACCGCAGTTACAGGCCTAAGACTTTGTAAACACATGTGGAACAGACTCTTACGCAAATCTAGTTAACCCACTTTCCTCCCTAAAGACCTGTCTATTTTGCGCATTCTCAGTAAACCACTCCCGCGCCTCAAGTGCAAAATGACGCGTAAAAAACTTACCGACGAAGACAAGTTTGTGACAAAACGACGAACGACGCCGACCGTCTAAACACCGACAGCGCAGACCATCACGCCCGTCGGAAACAAACCTCCCAGGCCTCTTACGAACAAACAACGACACAACCCCTCGTAATGCGCAAATTGTCGTATACACCCCGCAACAATTCTTTTTACACGGAATGCATCGGATTTTTATATTGACTTTCATTAACGGCGAAAAAATGACGAATGTTGACATTAGCGGTGATCTTGTCAAGCGATTCACGCATTGGCTAACTATCGATGGCTAGATCTGTCGCCCAAGTCTAGTAGCTTTTGACCCTCTGCCCAAGCTTCAACAATCGCTTCCTCTAACCTGCCTTTACCGATCACACTGTTCCGTAGCAAACCCTACCTGGGCCTCGCTATATAATCGAATGTCACTGACTCAAAATAAAAACTGTACGAAAATCACTCGACGGAAAATTCTACAAACACTGGAGAAACTAAAAACGACATGTGAAGGTTTAGTGTAAGTGGATCCCTTCAACCTTGGCGCACGACCTAGGGACAAACCCAAGAGCCGTCCGCTTTCCTGCATAACTAAGCCTCCCATCCCTCCAATGTCAACCGCCAGTACCACACCTATTTGAAAGATAAAGAGACTGCCTTGTACATCAGCTGGCCTCCGCAAAACATCGTATTGGTCAAAATCCGCCACGATTCTAATGGCAGTAGAGTGTGCGGCACACCGCAAAACGGGTCATCAACTTCCGATGCTTTCTTTATCCTTTATTCACACAGACAAGCTGCCTTTTTAAGAGGACATCGGCCAGATGAGCGTAACTGCTGATTTCTATTTACTTTAACACCTCAGGCGACCCGGAATTGGGTGACAAAAACCCCCTATTCTGACGCCATCCCGCCTGATACTAAACACTTGCAAACTGCTTCAACTGCATCTTGATCTGTAGTTTGAAATTTGGAATGTAATTTGTTGAGTTAGTAGGAGGCTCATCCTTGCTTTTCCAATTCCATGGCTTTCAATCTGTTGAAATTAATATACGCAATTGTGGCAAAAAAATCATGGAAGTTCTAAATATACCAAATCGCTACCACCCCGCAACATAAACGAACAAATTAGGGACGAATAAGACTTGAACAAATACTTCATATCGATAAAAAACAACTGCATACTCATAAAAATTTCATTCTCAGGCCTTTCCCCATCCAAACATGCGATCAAAACAAAAATCCTATATAAGCACTTCTGCTGATCCTACAACCTTCTGGAATCTGCCCAACCGTCTGAGCTTCTTATGCACAACAAAGCTTAGCGAAAAAAACCCAAACACACGGCATGCAATCCCTATCATCATATAGCTGTCCCATATAATCGCTGGGAAACCCATAGAATTTCATTACGTCCCCCTCAAAACTCAAAACCAATGTGCACTAAATTACGCTCAGACAAACACAACACACGACTGAAACAACTGCTTTCGATCTCCAAACTCTCTCCGATACACTCCCTACGCACAGCTGCTTGCGTGCCTCGCGCTTAGGCATGCACACGCGCATTTCAACACATGAAAAAAAGCACGAATGCACTTCTAGATGCCGCACTCTACGAACATCAATCGACGAATGGCAAAACAACCAACCACCCAGCTAACCAACAACTCCCAGAAATTGACTATAACGAGCCCCATTCACACGGAATCGATCACGAACAATTTCAACAATTTCAAAGACAAATAAAAACGAAGCACAAATATGGATCAGGAAAAAAGCAAAAAATCAATAAACACACACTCCTTCCTTCCCCCTCCGTTGTTGTGAGGAAATGTTTAAGATTTTTCTTTTCCTACTTCCACATTTTTCTTCTTTATCGCCTTAAATTGTTGAAATTGTTCGTATCATTCAACTCGTAATAACCGGGGTCTCATATCAATTCTGGATGTTGTTAGCTGCTGGTTGCTTTTGCCATTCGCCATTAATGTTCGTAGATCCATCTCATAATGCATCGTCTTTCATGTTGAAATGCGCGTGGCATCCGAACGCGAGCAACGCAAGCAGCTGTCGCCAGGCATGTCGGAGAGAGTGATACAAAAAGAGTTTACTCCAATCTGTTTGTGTTGTCTGCCGTAATACGCCTCACATGGGTTTCGAACTCTTGAAGACGAAATGAAATCCTATGAAACTTCACGATTATATGAACACCATATAGAACGAATGCAATACGTGTGGTCGGTTTTTCTAAGCCTTTGTTGGCAATAAAGCTCAAACGGGAGTGCGCACCACTTGCACGAAGTTCTCAATCAGGGATCGCCAGAAAGGCCTAATATAGAATATTATGTTTGATTAGCATGTTGAGGCATGAGCCAGAAAAAAGGCCCTAGAAATGAAAAATATGAACCTATTAAGTTGGTTTCCATATAATCATCTGTCACTCTTCAATTTCTCCCCCTTAAGTGGTTCTTTATGTGCGGTAGTAGCATTTGAATATTTAGAATAAGGCTCATCCCTTCTTTTTGCCCCACATTCGTATATTAATCTTCAACAGATTGGAAAAGCACCATAATTGAGAACAAGGCATACTTCCAACAACTCACAAATGCATCCAAGTTCAAACTGAATCAAACCAGTAAGCAGTGCAAGTGTAGTATCAGCGGGATGCGTCAGAATAAGGGCTTTGTCACCAATTCTGGTCCCTGGCGTTGAATAAATAGAAAGAAGTACCTCATCTGCCAGTCCTCTAGGAGAGGCGCTGCTATGTGAATAAAGGGATAAAGAAACATTGGAATTGATGACCCGGTTTGCGGTGCCGCACAATATACTACCATACAATCGTGTGCTTTTGACCAAAACATGTTACGAGGCCACTGATGTACAGCAGTCCTTTATCTCTCACATAGGTTTTTTTTTTTTTTGTGACCCGAATGACGGATGAAGGCCTTAGATGCAGGAAGTACGGCTCTGATTTGACCAAGCGCCCACCACGAGAAGCGCATCCACTACCACTACCACTTCACCACCCATGTCCGGTCATTCCAGTGTTTCTATAATTTACCGTACAGGTCATTTTCTCTACCACGTTATATGTTGAGCAGGACCATTCCGATTACTATAGGGCACCATTTAGAAGTTCTGCCTAACGGAACATATTGATGCGGTAAAGCGACCATTAGAGCAAGCATTTTGGAAACCTTGGCAAAGAAGGTCAAAAAGGCCTACAGAAACTTGCCGACAATCCTATCGCCATCATATTAGCCAAGCGTGAATACGCTTGGCCAAAAACATCACCTACTTCTTACAAAACATGGCATTTCACCGAAGACCAATAAATCGATAAAAAATCCCCAAATGCATTCACGTGTATTTAACAAACGAATTGTTGCGCGGGGTAACGTACAATTCCGACAATTACACGCTTGTGTCTGTTGTCGGTACAGACACGCGCAGGTTTTTCCCAAGACCACGCGGCCGTATGTCCCGCTTCGTGTTGACGTCCTCAGTCGTCCTTCTTGCTCCAACAAACTGTCTCCGCTCGACCTCATTTTCACGCCCCCCATTGCAAATTGAGCCAGCGCACGGCTTCGACAATCGCAAACACATAGACCAGAATTTAGGAGGAAGTGGGTAACTAATTTGCTAAGATCGCCACATGTTTACAAACTCTAGCGTAAACGCGGTTCGCTAATCCTTAGTTGTACAATAATTTAATTCAGATAAATCATTCATTGGAGTCTAAACCACTCCGCAGCTCTATTTCAAGCCCAAAATAAATAATAAATCTAAAAAGAACAAAGCCTTCGTATTCACTCAGTCTTTTCGTATCGCCAACACTCAACTTCACATCCACACAGGTGATTGAATGCTATGGCTAACATTACTGCTGGCCCAGCCAATGATTTAGTGTTTTTTCTCATAACGAGTCATTACAACAAGGCTCTCGGAGGAGTGAGACCTGTATCGCCTCGCTGCAATCGATCAAGATTCGATCCCTGCGCGTATGACCGCCACTTATGCTGTTTTGTTGAAAATTCGCTTAGGATGTTATTCTGTTTTTTTTTTCGTTTGTTAGTCTGCTTTTTGGACTACATTTTTGAATACCTCATAGTTGAATTGATATTGATTTTGTGCGCGCAAAATCATTCCCACCCATCTAATGAGATGCCATTGAATGTATCGGTAGGTTTGAAAAGGAGGACGAATTGCGATTGTGTTGTTTATCGGTGTCTTGCAGCCGTTTTTATTTCTTAATTATAGATGCTGGCTCAGCGTTTTATTGATCAGACAGCGTTAAGTATGATGGAACGCCAAGATGGCGGTGTTCACTTGGCTGACAATTCAATACTAAATGGTGGTCTTGAAGGGGTTTTGTCTTTCCTAGGTAAATCATTTTCTTCGTTGATCCGCACCAGCACTCAAAGGTCTTGTTTTTTAAGTCTAAAAAGAACGATTTCAGCGAACTCCGGCGACAGTAATCCGTTGGCATTGTTGTCGGCGGCGGCAGCGGCCTCCGAGCAAAGTTCATGTGCTGTAACGCCGAGTATGAACAACGTGAAAGATGAACCACGAGAGGCGCCAATGGAGATTGATGCCGTTGCACAAGCGGCACAGATTCATTCCCAGCTCAACGGGCGGCTTGGTGAGTGTCTTTCAGAGGTTTCCTTCATCATTTGGGCCAATGGAGCTCCTTTAGCTCTTTTTTTCTAAGGCTGTTGTATTGAAGGTGTAGATTTTTTACCACTAATAACCTGGTAATTTTTGTGAGAATTTGTAGAGGCTCATGATCCGGACGCAACACCTCCTGCAGAAGACGAATCTCGTCTTGTCGTCGATGAGCCGCAGCAGTCACCGCAAGCACAACCAGCACCGGTAGCATCGAGTTGCTGAATGATGACGTCTTTTGGCAGAGTTCTAGAAGGACATATCAGACCGTGAGTGGAAAGTCAGCCGACTTGCAGCACATCAGTTGAGGCTTCTGCTGTTTTTCTTCAGCTGAAGCATTTTTTGGACGAGATTTCAAATATCTTAATCCTAATTGATTTTTGTCAGTGCTCTAAGTTTTGTATAATATTTATACTGCATATGTATATGTTTTTGCGTGATGTTTCCAACATCGATCGTCTTTACATAACTTTCTTCTATGATGACCACCATAGTCTCCGTAGAGATGGGTAATTTATGTTCTGCTTTGTTTATCACAGTGAAAGTGAAGCGCTCCGCTTCAAAAGTCTCATTCTTAAAAATCTGATGATATGCGTATCGCAACATATTCCAAACATTATCACATATTCAGGGCTTATTTTGACAATTTTTTTTCTGATGATTCTTTTTTTTTGCTTCTCATGGTCCGGGTCTACAAAGTAGCCATTTCGGTTTGAGACGCACGCGGTCGCGATGCCATACGTTAGTGGATCGATACGCAGTGGTTTGATGCATATCGATTCATTAACGATACGTGCAGCTGAAAACGAAAGGGTGATTCCCGGGACGACATTTTTGTGTAAGTTGTCCGTGCGTCACGTGTGGAATGTGATGGCGAGCGGCACGAAATGTGTTTAGCATTGTTTTGTTTCCTAAGATAATATATGTGTATGATAATTAATTTTGTGTTTGTGTGCAAAGGCGATGATCGCCTGTTTGTAACAGTTGTCCGATCATGAAGACTCAGGATTTTGCAGTTTTCTCTTGATGTGTTTTCTCATGCTCTTCTGTGCTCTCTCCATATTTCTTTTTTGAATCGAAAATATCTATTTGCCCATTTGCATGATTCAAAATGTATGTAGCCTCTGAGGAACTGCTGGGAGGCAGCAGATTGTGCTGTTTGCCTCACAGTCAGTTCCGCATGAGCACCGTAGAATACCGCACCCCTCGATCTCAGCCGGGTTACCCTTCCTGTTACCATTGTTGATGCCTTGTTACCAACCTCAGATTCTGAATAAATTTATTTCTTAAAGCTATGACAACACACGCAAGGTTATAAAGTCCTAGAAGTGCTTCCATGAAATTTGGAGGGGTGAATTTGTTAGTGGAGAAGCATGCAGCGTTGCCATGGTGATGTCATGCAATATGGTCGGTCTACGGCTCGGCGACTCCACGAAACTCGTCCGGATTCTGTCATTGTCGTCGGATTTGGATTCTGTTTCTGTTACTGAATTGCTAAACTGTAAACGACCATAAGTGGCCACAAGAAGTCACCGTGATGTCCGATGAGGACCCTGAAACCGCCGCCGAAGAGGTGGTACTGAAGGTGAGACGTGTTTCATTCGTTTTGTCACTTTTTGAAATTGGTACTATAGCTTATTGATTTTGAAGAGCAGTGGGTCCAAGTCAAGTGTTGCTCTGTGGCTCAAGTTGGCGCAAAACTATGTTGTAGGGGGGGGGGGGGGATTTTTCGTCAATTTTAAACACGGCAGGAGCCCAATGTACGCGCTAACGTCCCAAGATGCTATGAATTGGCAGAATTAGGCCTCAGGAAGTTGAGGGACTCTGAAGTGCGTAAGCGGTTTTCATACTCCCTTGAGTTTTTCCCTCTCCCAGGCTTAGTCCTAGGGACCGATAGTGAATAGTTCGATTTGCAAGAATTGAATAGATAGCCTTGTCTGCAAAAATGAGTAGAAAAACGCCCCAACCGTCACTGCGTACGCTACGCGTCTACCGTGTTCGGAAATAGAGATCGCCACCCTTTCGGACTGGTCTTTGTGATGTAACTCCTTGAAGTTGTGATGCGCCGGTGCTATGGTTTGTAGCATCAACTATGAAATTAGGGAGTGATCATTTTGTACTCCTACTGACTAGTATAGGGCGCCATTCGTTGCGGGACCCACTGCCTTAACCCGCGGGGATCCCATGCGATCGCGGTTGAATTCGAACATTCCAGCTTCTCACGCATGTCAAGTGACTGCCCTCACCCCCCACCCCCCTAGACTGGCGACACTGCCCCTGGCTCACGGATTCCCCGCTCCACATTGAAGGGTTCACTGTAGCAGGAGGCAGTGGGACCCGTAACGAATGGCGTCCCTTTACTAGTCAGTAAGGAGTACAAAACGATGGCGTCCGTAAACTTCGTTTGCATGTTTATTTCCGCACTGATTATTTCTACAAACTATACTCTTTCGATCCTATATGGAAAGTGATATCACGTGAAGTAAACATTGTTACTTTTTCTCGCAGTTTTTTTTTGTTAGAGATTCATCTCATTTTGTCGGTGGACTGGCGGTCATGGTACATTTTTTGTTCCCTAAAAAATAGAAATCTGAAAAAAAACTCCCTATTCAATTGATTTGTGTGAGGATGCTAATGGCCTATACAACGAAAGCAATTTGAGAAGTCCATATCGTCTTGTAAACCAGAATGGGTGCCGTATTCGCACTTCACTGGGATGTCGAGATAGGTTTGTTCGAGGCTAATTAAAGTCTATGGGGCAGTCGGCTGTGAGCACTGCGCTGCGTGTAGCGACAATGGTACTGCCTGTCATGGAGTGGACGAGGCGGGCATGGGCGAGGAGCCAGCCGGCCGTGTTGCAGGAGACAAGGTTGAACAGCTTGTTTACGAAGGTTTGGTGTGAATAACGAAAGGCAACTTTCTTCGGTGTTTCACTAGGAATTCAGGCTTTTCTCTCGTATATATTTGGTTCCCACCTCTGCCCCTCGTCCCTCCAGGTAATGTCAATCGTCAGTTTGTGATCTTCCAATGGTAGTAGTCGTATTTGAACGTTCTCGAGGAGATCGTATTTGCGAATAGGGGAAAAGTTGATTCGAGAAAGATTTAAAGTGTGTTGCACAGTTATAACAAGAATTCATACTCCTCCCCCCTCCTCCTCGACAGCGGTCTTTGAGGAATTCAGAATATTCTTGGGGCGAAGTTGGAGTGCGCCATGTGCTGCCAGAATCTATAAAAGCAGAGGTTGAGGTGAGTGTGGCGTTGTGGAAGTGTAGAAGGTTTGCGTCTGGAAAATTTCCCTGTCAGCAAAGGTCTGCATCCGCAACACATTGGGACGCTCCGGTGGTTCCATTAGAAAAAATTGGGTCTCGTCTTGACTCTCCTTCTTAGCCCTCTTTCTCGACCACGATTCTCTCTTGCAGGTGGCTGCCTTATCCTGGGTCTGCGTTTCGCTAACCACAGGTTGCTTCGAAGCTACGTTCGTAAGCCAAAGCCACAGTAAAAGAAAAAAGAATCGGTCGACTCCTATCTAACTTATTGATAATTTTTTGATTCGTCCAAAACACTGGGCACAAAGTGATCTATAATGATGAGCCATTATCGAGATAGCACTATCCTTGAGACAATCTTCGTATGTTCCCCTCTCCATGCTCTTCCTTGCTGTAGTAGTTTCTGTCCTACCTGACAGATTTCTTCTCCGGATATTCTGTCGAGAGGTTCAGTCGAGTTCAGCAGTACATGCCTATTCCAAATTGCA